AACTTAGATGGAATAAATGGCCCCAGAGTGGCAAAGGGAGTTAAAAGAAGAACAGGAGGACTTGTGGCACCTTAGAGACTAACAAATTTATTAGAGCATAAGCTTTCGTGGACTACAGCCCACTTCTTCGGATGTTAAAGGGAGTTAACATGACCCTGTCCCTGTCCAACATTAAACAGTGTTAACCTGGTTTGGGATCCAGAGACCTCAGCCGGCTCCGTGCTGTGGCAACACCCCATTAACCATCATTTTAAGGACCCCAAAGGGGGGAGGAAACAGCCCCTCCCTTTGTTCTTTTCTCCCCCAATGAGGCCTGATTTCCAGCCCCCCAAGTCTGGCCCTTGGTTTCCAGCCCTGGCAGGGCCTGACCTCAGGACTCTGTTTGCACTGACTCGCCGGGCTCCCCGGGGCGCTTTCCCCAGCACATCTCTTGTCATGGGCTGGGCTGACCCCAGGGAACTGCCCCTCTCTGCTCCCAGCTGGGCTCACCCCTGGGGAGTTCACAGGCCAGGGCCCGTCCTCACCTCGGCTCCGCTCCAGAAGATGGGGTGGTTGATGTGGCAGATGCTGTTCCTCTGAGTCTGCTCCTTGGAGCCCACGGCCGAGCTACACTTAACGGCCATGGCCCTCCTGTTAGACTGAGCACAGGGGACCAGCCAGTGAGAGATGGAGCCACAACGCCCCCTGCTGAGACCCCCATCCCCTCCCTGCAGCACAGCGCCCCCTGCTGAGCCCCTGCCCGCTCGCTGCAGCACAGTGCCCCCTGCTGAGCCCCCCACCTGCTCCCTGCAGCACAGTGCCCCCTGCTGAGCCCCCCACCCGCTCCCTGCAGCACGACACCACCGGCCAAGCTCTCACCCACTCCCTGCAGCACGGCGCTCCAAACTGAGTTCCCAGCCAACTCCCCACTGCACGGTGCCCCCTGCTGACCTCCTGCCTGCGCCCTGCAGAGCAGCATCCCCTGACAAGTCCCATGCCCACTCCCTGCAGCACGGTGCCACCTGCAGAGGCTGCCCCTCATGCCCGGTGTGCACTGGGGTACCTGGAGCAGCAGGTCCCGGCGGTAGGACAGCGCGGCCGGGTAGAAGAACTGCACCCTGGTGTTGTAGGAATTCTCCCCATGGTTCTGGATGGAGACGGTGATGTTGAGTTCAGGGGTGACCCCCACCACCAGGGTGCTCAAGCTAAGGAGGGGAGAAAGGGGTGAGCTTCCTCAAGGCAGTGCCCTGGCTGCTCTGTGAACTTCCTCTAGCAGTGCCCAGCCAGGGACACCAGTGCTGCAATCTTCACCACAGCAGTGCCCGCCACCCAGGATCCATCAGCACTGGAAATCCAAGGTGTGATCAAGCTGGATGGGTCCCCCCATGGCGGGTGATTTTGCAGGGAGGATTCGGTGACTTACCCAGAGAAATTGAAGGAGACTGCTAACTGGTCATCGCAGCGGCCATCGGTGCCACAGTCCTTCTGAAACGGGAGCTGGGGGGAGACCAGAAGGGCAGAGGTCAATGGGGAGAGGACTGCAGCACCATCTGCCAGAGCGACACTGCAGGGACCCAGGGGCCCTCCAGTTACCCCAGCACCTCCCAGTCCTCTGCACAGGGGACAGCTGAACCCATCATCAGTCCTGCCCTTGCCACCCACCCACTCACCCATACCCCTCCTCCCCCTTCCAACTCCCGGCTCTGGCCAGCAACAGTATCACTCTTCTAGGGCTGGCAGGGCAGGGGGCCAGCCTGGCTCACGGTGGGATGGGGAACAGGGCATGGGGCCTTGCCCCTCTAAGGGGCCCTGGCCAAAATGAGTTTTGAAAAATGTTCAGAAAAAATCATTTTTTTAGCCAAAAATATTTTGGGTTTTGGACAGAAATTTTGGGAACTTTGAGGAGAAGTTGAAATGTT